AACCGCTCAACAGTTCAGAGATAGCTGGAGCCATGGCATACACAGGGCTAAACGACCTAGCAGGGCTAAAACACGTCCAGAACAAGCATGCCCATAAGACATAAAAAGTTGCCACTGGTGCAGACAGAGCCTCTCCTTCCTGCCTTGACCCTGCCTGGTGCCAGCATGTGCCAGGTGAATACCACTGACTGGCACCAAAACTTGCAACAGAAACAGAGGCTAAGTCTTGCGGACACAGCAAAAATTCCCAGACTTTGTCCAGCAACAGCGGTGAGGAACCCCTGCACCCCTCCACCATGCACCTCTAAAACATCCCTTTTCAGCTGACTGAGCTGTAATTGTCCCCCTAATGCCATTAATTCACTCACCGGTTTTATGTAAATCCGATAGTGGAGTTTTGTGAGCCCGATCATGAGTGTTAAGCGCACCCGCTTTATGAATAGTGGGTGAGTTTTGTCAGCATTCATTCCCTCACCGGCTATGTCTAAACTGATCATCATGCCACCAGGGTGCAGAAGTACACCCAGGTATACTTCTGGTACGGAGTGAAAAGCACCTGAACTGCTTTTATAGGCATTCAGGTCTATTCATTGACACCTAACCACCTGATCTGGTCAGGCTGAATCACTCGGCTGAGCCATAATACTAGTTGGCATTGCATTGCTTAAGTGTAGGCACCTACAGAACCAACTAAAATCTTTACAGTACAAAATTACAGTACTGAATAAATGTAACGAGTTTTGCAGTTATTAGAACAGAGCCAATCTGGATCACTTTCTTGAATTAAGGCACTTAAAATCTCATTCTGTCCCATTTAGGTGTCTACAAGATGTTAATGTTTTTTTTTTCCCTTAGTGTCATTTTTCCCTTAGTACCATGGTACTACTATATTACTACTATGATACTACTATATTACTATACTACAGTAAAATCTCTGTTATCTGGAGTTATATATCCTGTTATTTGGTAGGTTATTGAACTTACCAAAGTACTTAATTAACCAGAATTTCAGTGGTGGGATGCACACGGCGCTGTGCCACTTTGCGGCCTGCTGCACCGCTTTGAGGGTACCCGCGCAAGGTATCTCAGTGTGTGTGACCCTCCCCCCTGCTGCAGCAGCCTCAGGCCAGGCTGCCCTAGCATTTGGGGTGGCTGGCTATTATGACGTTTTCATCTGTATACTATTTTATTCTTTATACAGTATGTTATACTGTAATGTATTGTACACTAATTCTTTGAAATTTGCACTATGAGTATGGCACTATCTTCCTTGAGTATAACTTTCAGATAACTGGAATTTTTAGATAACCAGCACCTCCCACTCCCCACTCATGCTGGATAACAGAGATTTTACTGTATGTATTAACTGTATTAGTTTGATATTTATATATAACTATGTATTATACTAAATATAATATTATGATAACTTAAGTGATATACAATATCATAATGATATATCATACTAAATTATAATAATAAGTAGTGTAATACGTTATTATTATAATATATAATTGTATATATGTATAATTATACAATTGTATGACGTATATAATAGGGATAATCATACCTTCTCCCAAACTTCTCTTCGTAGTTTGTACGGTGTTTGGGGCAGAGACTGTCTGCATGTCTTATTATGCATGTCTATAGTGCCTAGCCCTAATCTCAACCAGGGTTTCCATCACCATCTCCTACACCCACAACCATAACAGCATGATATTAGTGGACTGAGGGAAATGTCAAGATATGAAATACTGGTGGATAGCTCCCCCTTGCCCACTCCCTCTCCCCCAATCTGCCCTTGGTTGTCTTTGTCAGAAATGGAATGTGACATTTGTCTGACAAGTTAGACATATTAAAATTATTTTTTTACTTTAAATTGTCATTTCAATACCATCTTTTCAGCTTGAATGAACATTTCAAAACCAAAAGTTATTTCAACACTTGTTTTAAATGAAATGTTCCATTTCATGATGACAATTTTTTTTCCTGAAATGAACATTGTTCCATAAATTTTCTGTAAAAAAAAATTAGTCATTTGAAGCGGCCCTGGTGATAGTTTTCATGAAGAGTTTACATCAGTGGTTTCTGAGCTTTTTAAATATGAAATCACTTTTTAAATTAAAGTGCAACCTAGGATCTACTGCGCGCCACTCTCCCCTCCCTCCCAGCCCAGCAGGTCAGTCTGTGGGGAAGGAAAGAGGTAGGCGGGATGGCACACACTAGATCCTGGGTTGCACTTTAATTTAAAAAGTGATCTCACTGCCCCTGTGGTGAGGGAGGGAGAGGGGTAGAGGCAGAGGCAGCGGTGAGTGGGGCCCTGGCCAGGCTGGGTGGTGGGAGGGTTGGAGCCCAGGTGGCTCATCCAGGTGTGCAGGGAGGCTCCCACAGCTGTGCGCACCCCGGCGAAGGCCTGGGGAGCACATGCCCTCCCGATATGTGCACGGGGCGGAGGTGGCTGCTGCTGTGCTTTGTGCCCCAAGCCCCACTGCAGCTGGCCTGGGATGGTGCGATGCCGTGTGCATCCCGCTGCTCCTGGGGCAGCTGCAGTGGGGCTCAGGGTGCAAAGTGCAGTGCGCAGCAGCAGCTGTCTCCACTCCACATACAGATAAGGGGGGCACATGCCCCTGGGCTTCCACTGGGGTGTGCACAGTGGCAGAAGCCCCTCCACACGCCCCTGGATGAGCTGATCCCAGCATCCAGTTGGGCTAGGGCCCAATGCCACGTGTCCCACCACCAGGTGAGCAGGGGTTGAGGCTCAGCCCAGTGGCATGTGGCGTTGGGTGACTCCTGGGCCAGCTGCAGAGGGGCTTGAAGCGCAAAGTGCAGCAAACAGTGGCAACCGCCTATGCCCTATACACAGATGTGGGGGCATGTGCCCCCCAGGCCTCCGCTGAGGTGTGCATAGCGGCAGGAATCCCCCATGCCCCTGGATGAGCAGCCCAGGCTCCGATCCTTCCCCTGCCTGGCCCAGCTGGGACCCCATTTATCCCCTACCCCTGTCTGTGCCGCACTCCCTCCCTCACCTTGATCTGACCCCTGCCCCTTTCCTCCTCCACAGACTGACCTTCTGGGCTGGGGGTGAGGTGGTGGGGCACGTACGGTCATGTGCGTATGCGCTCAGCACCCCCAGCCTCAGATCTACTGGCAGAGGCTCCGCAATCCACCACTGGTTTAGATATATTGAAATGTTGATGTGGTAATAATAAACCACCCCTGGGGAGAGAGCGAGGCAAAGAACAAACAGAGAGAAAGTCAAATTTCAATAACAAAAGCTTCCTTTGTCATCTGAGTAGATGGAGCAAATCAGGTTTCCATTCCAAAATTATGGGATAGCTGAAACTCTTTGGCTACGTTTCTGTGCTGATAGATTTAAGTGATATTATTGTTCAGCTGTTCCTTGACAGTTTAAAATCACTGTCAAATACTGAACTTACTGTAATGATTGTTTTTTAAAGTTGGTCAGGAAATGCTTTTCTCATAATGCAGGAGTTTGAACTTTTGATCTTTTATCACCATTTGAAATTGGGAAGCAAAATACAAAACCTACAAGAATAATTTTCACAACCTGAAAATTTGAAAAACGTTCTGTATCAGGCAAATATTCTGTGTAAACATTCGGAATAGTTTTATGCTTATAATTCAAATAATTTCATTTTGATTTCAACCTTTTTATGTATTAAACCTCTTCATTTTTTATTTGTTTATTTATTTTTACTATAACTTCTCTAACAGTTGAAAACCAATGTCATTTCAAACTGGAAAACATTGTTTTCATTCAGAAAATATCAACATGGGATATTTAAACAATTTAAAAAATACTTTTTTAAAGGTTTCAGATTAGAAGATGTGTTGAAACTTGCCGTTGCCAAAAATGTTTTCCGCAAATCAACCTTTTCTACTGAGAATATTTTTATTGGAGAATTCCTAAGAAACCTGATTGCATAGTGCTGTTCTGCTCTTTCAATTATTCCAGCTCTGTCCATTGTAGCTATACTAAATGTCTATCCCAAATCATTTCTAATTATTTTTCTCAGTTTGTCATTTTTTTTTACCACCAGTCTCTGTCTTTCCTTATCCTCAGTTCCATGAAATTCAGCTTTGGCACTTAATGCCAACAGCATGACACTGAAAATACAGCAATCATGTCAGGTACAAAGTTGGCAATGAGAGGTAATGCATTAATCAGAATTATGAGTCGTTCCAACTATAGCAACCGAAGCAATCAACGACCCCAAGTCTTCTTGCTTGAGCCCTGACTACACATTGGATTTTTATGGAGGATTGAGTCTGATTATTATTTTTGGAGTAGTAAACTACTTGCGAGTAAATGCTCCCAGACAGGCGTCCACATGTGCAGGGATGCAGAAGCAGATTTGCTGCTAATGGCAGCAAACTGCTCTTGCTTCTGGGATCGCTGTAACGGGCCCCTGCTGCTACCAGGGGGAGCTCTATGCTCCCCCGGGGGCCAGTCCAGGAGCTGGCAGGGAGCACTCTCCCTGTCCCCAAGGTGCTGCCTGCTGCTGGGGTGGGGAGAATGTCCTCCTGCTCTGGCAGTAGGGAGATCCTGGCCCTGGCTCCCTGATTGGGGGTGGGGGGGCACTTGGAAAGAACTGCATGGGGGGGGCAGGTCCCAGCCCCCTGCCTCAAATCCACCGGTGGGACAGCTAGCAGCAGTGGCGATGCATAGGGGGTGCATGGGGGTGGTGGTACACCCCCTGACAGGCAGCACTCCCCACTTAGGCGACGGGCAGGGGGGACAGGTGGGAGCGCCGGTGCCCCCGCTGCGAGCACTGACTAGGGAGTGGGTGCACCAGGTGAAGCACCACTGGCACTTCTGAGAGCACTGCTCATGCTTCCCTGTCAGCACAATTGGCCATGGGGGGACCCCCTCCCAGTTGCTCCCGGGTCAGTGAGATTGGCCACTGTGGGGG